TGTGTGTGTGTGTGTGTGTGTGTGTGTGTGTGTGTGTGTGTGTGTGTATGCGCTCTCGCACAGCCCATCATTTTGCATGTACATGAAAAGCACATATCTATTATTGGTTACTATAATTGCTCAGAAAGAAACCTTTATGGAGTATTCAAACGAGGCAAGAGAATAGTTCTCAATATTCTATATGTTGCTCCTTTCAAGAGCATACATGCACATGCACACACAGTGCCTTCTGCTAGTGTGACACAAGCACTAATGTCCTGTTCCCCACCCCCCTTCATGTTTCCTCCTTATCAGCATCATCAAGGAAGGAAACACTAAGAGGAGGGTGGATTCAAGATCACTTCCGCAGAGCTGCCTCTGCAGACAGCTTCCTGGTTTACCATTCCCTGACATTTCTCTATTTATTCACCCTATTGTTTCAAATACTGAAACTACTTTAATAATATCTTATAGCCAAGTACTAGCCAGTGTCCCTTTGGCAACAAAGGAATAGGGTCCAAGTGATGACTGTTATGTGTCCCTCCTCTGAGTGCCCACTTGGATTGAGATGCTACTAGACTTACTGATGAGCTTCGAAACTGGCATAGCCTGGACTACACCCTCCCCCCCCTCCACTGATGTTACTATTTCCATTATCCTGGTTGGGGTCATTTTGAAAAGACCACCAAGTTCTCGAAAAACCAAACCAAAGAGAACACTAAGTTATTTCTTTATTCTTTCATAATTTCCTCCATATGTAATATCTTCTGATCACTCCCCCATATTAGGCTCCTACTGCCCTCCCTCCTCATCCTGACATGCTCCTAGTCCTTTCTCCCGTGTGCATTTGGGGGTTGAAGGACAACTTTTGGAAGTGCATTCTGGGGGTTGAACTCTGCACTCCATGTGCTGGTATTACAGCTATAAACTAGCAGTGGCTCAAAGTTTCTCTGTCTGTCACAAGTTGGCTCAAGCCTCAAGTGGTGATTACAGACATCTGTCACCCTGGGAACCAATAAATGACAGGGCACGTGGGGCTAGACATATGGTTCAAGTGTGCTTGTTGCTGTTGCAGAGGAGCGGGTTCCATTCCCTGCACCCACATGGTAGTTCACAAACAACTGTAAACAAAGTTCTAGGGAATCTAACTTCTCTTCTGAAGTTGACAGGCATGTGCAACAGCAGTGGCACACGCCTTTAATTTCAGCACTCAGGAAGAAGAGACACCTGGTCTACACAGCATGTTCCAGGCCAGCGGAGGCTATACAGTGTCACACACTCTGTGGACACAGATGGCCCAGTGGGCAAACTGCTTACTGGACTAGCATGAGGACCTGAGTTCAGGTCTCCAGGAAGCACTTGAAATGTCTCTCCCCAGTAGTGGAAGATAGAGGGATCCCTGGGCTTGGTTGAGGTTCAGTGAGAGACCTTGTCTGAAAAGTAAACTAGAGAGGAATTGAGAAAGCCAGGTGACTGGGATTTCTGGCCTCTGCAAATGCTTGTACACCATAAACATGCACACATACAAAATGGAGAATCTAATGTATTATGTATAATTATTAATGCTAATTACCTTTTTCAAAGATCAATTTAGGTAAGTAATGGAAGCCAATTAGATCAACCAAGGTTGTTTGTTTGTTTGTATTGTTTTTTATTTTTTATTAAAGAATAGATGAACCCAAGCATGGTTGCTCACGCCTTTAATCCCAACACTCAGCAGGCAAAGACAAGTGGATCTTTGTGAGTTCCAGGCTAGCCTGGTCTACATAATGAGACCCTGTCAGAGAAAAAAAAGGAAGTAAGAAGAAATGAGATGATACAAATTGGACTCAACTGGTCCTGCATCTGGACTCAGGGGTTGCCATGGTTCAGAGTAGGATATAACATAACGTACAGCTCCCAATTTCCTCCATCACCAGATTCCTCATCTAACTACCTCCTAGATACGTGAGGATGGAAAAAAAATTAGAAATCAGTCATTTGCCCCTTCATCTTGACAGGGCATCTGGGTTATTTGAAGTAACGTGAATCAGGTCTTTGACACAATGCCACCTTTTCAAAAGAAAAACAAGACAGGAACTAAATCCACCTGTACAGTCTCATCACTGAGCCCTGCACAGGGGGCTAGTCAGATAGAACCTTTGCAGTCTAGCTCCCAAGGTCAAGCTGAGAGCTTTATATACTATTCCTAATCCTGCATAACGTGCCAAAGAACTCCTGGGTTATGAGGCTGTTTCCTCTAGTTGAATTTTATACACCTCTGCGGTTCAAATCTGAATCAGTACTGCAGGTATGATGCAGAGAAACAAAGCTTTCTTTCTTTTAAGATTTTTTTTTATTTTCATCTTTGTGTATGGATATACACATGACAGGATACTAGAAAAAAATGAATAGGATCAAAAATTGTCAAGATACTTTAAAAATATCTAAAATTAAAAAAGATAAAACTTTTAAAACCGCAACATTTACCACATTCAGTTTAGCTGGAAATATTGGCTCACGTTGGAAATTCTGCATTTAGAAATTTGAGACAAGAATATCTGGATCTTGAGGTAAGAGAGCAACTTCCCAGGTCTCCCTGTGCTACATGGAAAATTCTTGTCTTAAAGCACAGGAAAAACAAAAAACAACAACAATCCGAAACAACAACAGCAAACAGGTTGTTGTGGCACACACCTTTCATCCCAGCACCCAGGAGACAGAGGCAGGTAGATCTCTGAGCTAGGGCACCTGCTACTGTCCCGTTATGGATGCCAGGTGACTCCTAACCACCTGTAACTGCAAAATTTGAGAGCTACTGCCCTCTTCTGGAGGCCAGGTATACCTGCAATCATTTGCACATGCACAGAAAAATGATAAGACATTCAAAATAACATTTCTAGCCAGGTGGCAGTGGCACATAATTTTAGTCCCTGCACTTGAGAGAGAGAAGCAGGTCGATCTAAGTTTGAGGCCAGCCTGGTTCAAGGACAGCCAGGGCTACACAGAGAAACCTTGATTTGAAACTCACCCCTCCACTAAAAAAAAAAAAAAAAGACAAGAAACCAAAAATTAACAACAACAAAAAATGTTTATTCTAGAAAATAAAAATAAATTGTTTTCATTTTTTGTCAATCCCCTATTCATCAACAGACACCAACCTCAGAAAGCTCATCAGAAGCAAGAATTCAGTCCTGCTTGCTGGGACAGAAGAAATTAGGCCACCACAGGGTCACAGTCTACTCCATGAGTCCGAAAAGAAACATATGCTGCATTGCAACAGGTGACAGGAGACAGATAGACTAACAAAAGTGGTAGGATTCCAGGCAATACAAGGATTTAAGTCACTGATGGTCTATAGTTGGCAAGCATAAAAGGTTACCAATGGATGGATCTCATGAAGAAAAACATAAATTGGTTTCATGTGCCCTACAAACAACCCCTACTTGATTTGCCCGGGCCTCATGAAAATACATGCCGAACAGTCACAGTCATTCCACAGGAGCCTACCACTTTGCTGACTCTGTGGTCAATTTCTAGTAAGCACTTCTTCTTTGATGAATAAATGTTCTTGCCCTTGCTGTGTGCACACAGGAAACAGAAACCTCAAGGTGGTCAGTGAAACCAGCAAGCAAGGCAATGCCTGGCTCTCAGTGCCATCATTTAAAAGTCACACAACGCGGGGCAGCAAATGAGACCGGAATCTGCCACAGTTCAGTGCGCTGGAGGGCTAAAACTTCGTTTGTGGACACAAAGCTACAATCACATTTAAACCCTTTTACATTAAACACACAGAACAATTCTGTAGACAGGTGGTTCAGCTGCTTAATACTTCCTCTACATTGCTACATTGCTAACATTTATAGATGGCGGCGGAAAGCTTGAGATCTTAAACTGTGAGCAATTGGCAAGGCTAAGGCTCCCCTCGAACTTCTTGTGAGGCCATAGGCTTTTAAACTAACTCTTCCATACCATCACAAAACTGCAAACAGATCCCGAGCTAACAAGCAAATCAGGTTACTGCTGAACTCTCAGCATGCAATCTGAGTAAAACACGCTGATTCCTTAAATCTATGGCAGCCAAAATTAACTACAGCATAGTGAGGGCTTCACATCAAGCAATTAGAGTTTAACTGTAAGGTCTCAGTGCACTTGAAGTTGAACTGAAACCTCTAAGGTCATTCCCCCCTTCCCCCACTCCCAGGAAAAATGATAGATCGGATTTTACAATAGTATTTTCTAGGTGTTTAAAAAAATGTTTCTAAATGACAATGAATCATAGCTGTCAACTGCTTTAGCATGGGGCTGATGTCCACACGCAGGGTGCAGCCCACAGATGCAGGTGACACAAAAGGAGATGGAGAGAAGGGATTAGTCAACACTTTGCATATAAACTTTTCCTTCTGTGCAGCGTTTATAAGAAGCTGAAAATAATAAAGGATGCTAATGTGGACCGTAAGAGGGGTGGGGAGGGAAACTCTGGCTGAGTGAAAATTCATGTAACCACTGACAACCTGGGAGAATCCAAATCCACTGTACTGTAAATTCACTCTCAGATGACAGAAAAACACTATATAAAATGGAAAAAATACATATAGCATTTCATCAAGAGCTGATTACCTTTAAAACTTTGGGCTTCTTTTCCCTCTGGGGCCTCTTGTTTTCTTTTGTAACCTAAAATTTAAAAAAAAATAAAATAAAATTGAAATGTGAGCCTCCATTTAAATATATATATATATCAGCTCCCATCCTCCCCACCCCGCCAAAAATCTTGTTACTTCTCTGTAAAAAACTACTTATATCATTTAATACCATCAACATGTTAATCAGTCAGACCCTGAAGAGCTTATGCAAAATGTATACTTTAAAAGTCACTGGAAAGAAAAACAACCAACAACCTTGCATAAATAAAGATGGAGGGAAAAGCCCCCTTTCCCCCTAAAAGTCTGTCTTAATTAGCCTCTGCATTCTTCACGGCGAAGCCCACGAGGTAGCCATCTTGCCTGCTTCTGCAGAGGAAGCCTCCACAGAGAGCAGCTCTGCAAACTGCTTTTGGTATCATTATCATGGTGTTTAAAGGCAGCCCTGGCCTGCCAGCGCTGTAGACGTGCTGGGCATGCCTTTTGCAAAAACAGCCCCACAAAGAGTGCAGCCAATGGCAAGGCAGAGCTTAGAGACTCCAAAGTGATCTTCGCAGCCTAGCACTATCCCAGACAAAGGATCTCCTGTGAGGCTGGGCTCTCACCACAGGACACAGGCAGCCACAAGCTGCGACATGGAGTTCTCTGCAGAGGATCTGGTCGCCGCCACCGAAATCACCGGAGGCTTCTGCAAAAGACAATGTTCTCAAATCCCCCAGGTCGCCACCATCGGATCGATGGCGGAGTCTCCCTAAGCAGGAACCTCTGGGTGGCACCAGGGCAGGTCGGCGCAGGGAGGGGCGCGCTACTCTGTTATCACCGGGCAGGAGATAGCCCTGAGCCAAAGGGGGCATCGGGGCTCACAGCAACCCTGGAAGGTATTGTGCATTTTGACTTTATAAGGCAAGGCTAAATATTGGCGATATTGAAGACAGGGAGGTTAAGTGAGGACAGCGCAGGCTCGGCTGTTGGGCTGCGTGTCTCATTCCTGGGAACCACACCTCGGTGCAGCCCGCGCTTGGCCTAGAAACAGCGATTTGATTTCTGTCAATAAATGTCCAACGACAAAGTCGGACTGAAAAATGACAGTCAGCCACTTAGAAGGGAAAAAGGACAGGATGTGGACAGGAGAGGGGGTGGAGTTTTTCAAAATTACACTCGCCACTCTCTCGGCGACTGCAGAGATGGAAGACTATGTAAGCTGATGACCTTCAGTGCCCAGAGAAACCCGCACCTTACCAGAAGGCAGACTCCAACCTGAACCTGTGGGGGTGGGGGCTATTTCTGTCTCCTCTCCTCCCGAGATCAACGGCAACCAAGCCACCAACTGGGTTCCCAGGTTGAGGCTTCTTGCACACTGGCTTAGTGGTCAACCAGTCACTTTCCCAGGAGTTGAACCTGAGCCCGGCATTGAACATCCGCGCGCGCTCGCTAGCTCCATCACTTACACACACACACACACACACACACACACACACACACACACACATCTGGATTGCACTCATGCTCAGCGAGTGGTAGACTTAGGGGAGCTGGCACCACATGACACCTGCCAGACTCCAGGATAGGCAGGACCAAGAGCTCTGTGAGCTCCCTTGCGTTTGCTGTAACAGCGGCAATGGCTCTAGCGGCTGAGGACCAGAGTAGCTGTGGCAAGCTGGGCTGGCCCAAGGTCACTGCCAAAAAGCTGTACAGGGGCTGATCACAGCCCCGTCACAGCCACCTTGACAGCTGCACAGATCTTGGGAAGCACGCCCAAGCTCCTGCCTCCTGGGGCCAAAGTTTCTGCAGTGCATTTGCAGGATTGGCAGGATGGCTCGCCTGGCTGCGAGGCCAAAAATGGGTTTTCCACTTGCAGTTGGATTCAGAACAGATTCCCACAACCAGAACTCGGAACAGAGTGAGGCCCCCGGAAGGCCTGCGTTTTGTCACCCTCCCTTCTGAGGATTTTAGGCTGCCGCGAAAGCCCTCTTTCCCGGGCAGCATTTGTTTTCCCATTTAATTTAGTTATTTATTAGTACTTCCGCCTGAACCTAGGTACTTTTGCACGCTGAACAAGTGCTCTACTGATGAACTACGTACTCCCGTGTTCCCAGATCTCCCTCCTTACACCATCCTCCAGACTGCCCTGCCCTGTACAAAATTTTTAACTAATTCACAGATGGGGCAGGGGATGGATGGGATGGGACTACTGAAGGTAGTCATGGTAACAAGAGAGTTGACTAACTACTGCCTCTGGAGGTTGAGGCAGGAGAATCAGCTAGACTGAGATCCTGCTTACTGCCTCTTAATAATCACACAACAAACAAAAACATGGTCTATGCTTGCTATTGCTGCACCCAAGGGAGACTGGGGCAGGGGTACTGCAATGAGTTCAAGGCCAGCCTCAGACACATAGCAAGTACCAGGCTAGCCATAGCTGTATAGCAAGAGTTTATCTCAAAGAAGAAAGAGAAAATGCAAAGAAAGGTGTGCATACTCTACCTATCCCAATAGCTGTATGGAGTTCACCTTTTTGTTAAATGTTTATACGAAAACCAAGGGACTCTGACCTAACCATAACACCAGTGCGAATTCAGAAAACACAGAGAACTGCTGTGGACCCAGAAGTAGTGGCACACACCTTAATCCCGGCACCCAGGAGGCAGAGGCAGGCTGATCCATGTGAGTTTGAGGCAAGCCTGGTCTACATAGTGAGTTCCAGGACGGGGAAAGGTACATAATGAGACACTGTCTGAGAGGTCGGGAGGTGGGGTGGCTCTGTGGGGAACCAAAGCAACCAAGAAGTAGTTGAAAATGCATGGCCACGTCTGCTCGGGGTGATCAGGTGCACCGGTGGAGCACACTTACCCATCATTCAGCTGATGTTGTCAACTTTGAAGGACATCCCAATGCCTTCATCATCATCATCATCATTTTGTGTGCTTGTGTTTGTGTGGGTACATTCTCCATAGCATGTGAGGTACAAGGGGGATTAGTTTGGGGAGTTAATTGTCTCCCACCATTAGAGTCCTAGGGATCAAATTTAGGTCAGGATGAATGGCCTTTCTTAACTCTCTGAGCCACCTCAAGGTTCCTGTTTTCTGAAAGAACTGCCAGAGCGTCCTGCCAGTATGTAACCCCACGAGTCAGTCAGTCACTCAGGGCGGTCCCCCTCGCCTCTTTTTTGAGTTCCATGCCTTTCTGCCAGAGATTGTGCCTCCTCCCTCAGATACACTCACTTGTAGAAAGCGGTGTCTTTCCCTTTGATTGCTCAATATGTAGTAAAGTTACCATGCCACACAACGTATACAATTATGTTGTGATTATACATTTTAAATCAATGTATTACCTGTAACAGCCACCAAATAAATCGTGCTCAGAGAGTAGGGCTCCTCGGTGAGATACTTGTGAACCCACACAACATTACACTTGGTGACTTCAGGGAATGTGGAAGCACACACTAGTCTGCAAAATTAGTTACTAAATAAATGCAAAGCCCATTGGCCAGATGGGTAGTTAATGAAAGAGCTACACTGATACGCTAAATCAAACCACTGGGGTAGAAGGAGGGTGGACACAGGCTCAGAGTTAGGGAGTTTATTCCCAATCTGTTCCAGTGCCTACATCTTAAAGATTTGACAGGCACAGCTCAGAACTTAGCTAACACGGGATGTTTTTAATAGGATAGATCAGAAATTAATAGAAGGTGCAAGAGACCAAAGGTTCCAGAAAGAGGGCTTAGTGCTTAAGGGAGCATGATGCTTATGTTTATGCACACATGCATGCACATATTTTTTTAATTTTATGCATATGAGTGTTCTGCTGCATGTTAACCTGCATGCCAGAAGAGAGCATTGGCCTTATGACCATAGATGGTCATAAGCCACCATGTGGGCACCGGGAATTGAACTCAGGACTTCTGGAAGAGCAGCCAGTGAGTCAGTAAACACGAGTCATCACTCCAGCCCTGCACTTGCCCATGTTTAAAAATAAATCAGCCAGGAGGCAGAGGCAGGTGGATTTGAGTTCAAAGGCCAGCTTGGTCTATAGAGGAAGCTCCAGAACAGCTGGGGATACACAGAGAAACCCTGTCTCAGAAAACAAAAAAAAAAAAAAGAATTGCAATTTTTGCTAGGCCAATTATAATAGCTTATACCTTTAATTCCATGATTTGAGAGGCAGGTGGATCTCTGAGTTTCAGGCCACAACCTGGTCTACGTAACAAGTTCCAGGACAGACTCAGCCACAGTGTGACCTTGTCTCAACACGCCCATCCCTCCCAGAAAAGAATGACAGCTGTTTCCCAGGGTGGGGAGAAAAAATGTTAAAGAGAGAAGAGAGAGATAAGCCCGGAATTGGCTCAAGCAGGGGGTTAGAGAGTTGCAAATTAAGAGTCCATCCTTTGCCACATACTGAAACCAGGGGCTAACCTAGGTTAAATGAGACCTTGTCTCCAAAGAACCCATGTATCTCTTATATATTATATACTATATAATGTATAGTATATATACTACATACTATATACAGTATATATACTATAGTATATACATTATAGTATATACATATACATAGTATATATACTATAGTATATACATTATAGAGTATATACTATACATTATTTATAGTAGAGCATATATCATGGAACACCTCCTGTGGCAGATCTAGAAATGCTATGTCATATGATAGGGTTCCAAAAACGTATTATCCAGCTAATATTCTTTAAAGACATGGCTTGCTGCTCTGGGACGTGAGTTTGGTTCCCTTCATCTACTGCAGACTGCTAACAGCCACCAGCCTGTTACTCAGCTCTAGGGAATCTGACCCCTCCCCATCTCTTTCTGGCTTCCAGGCATCTAAACACACTCAACACAGACACATACACACAGAAGATAACAATGGCAATATATATTAAAATAAAAAGCACTCATTTCCCTGAGGGTGTTGATGGCCAACCTGGGCTACATAGCTAAACTCTCAAGAGAAAATCATTTGACAGCTGCGTGATAGTGGTGCGTGCTTTTAATTCCAGCACTCAGGAGGCAGAGGCAGGCA